GGCAGCGGCTGTGCTGCGGCGACCGATCCCGGCTCCGCCGGGGTTGCTCCGCTTCCAGCCTCCTCTGCCAGAAGCTGTCGTCGCGTAACCCGAGTCTGAGTCTCTAGTGTAATTTTGGCTTGCTGGTAGGCAGGGCGAATGCGCCTGTGCCTCGGTCTTCTGCTCAGCCGAGCGAGGCACGAAATAACTGGCACGGTGGGCTTGGCCGGTTGAAGCGGGCTGAGACCAGCACCCTCTGTGGTGGTACTGCCGGGAGCTGGCGGGCCCTTCAGCGGCTGATGTTCCCTTAGAGGAGCTGGAAGCGCTAGTGAAGCCCCCATCTCTGTAATCGCGAAGGCCCTTTGAAATCCCTGCAGGTGTGCGTAGCACGCAGGATTGGATTTATTTTAGAGTAAACCAGAGTTGGGAGTGAATTTGGAACGAGCCTGAACAGCCTCAGAAACGTTGATATGGGAGAGCCTGGTTGCCAGGGGAAAAAAAAAAAGCGGCATAGACTAGCTGTACTACAGTTGTTACGTGTTACAGAGTTCTCATAATCTGGAATCAGGATGTGCCTGTGCTTCATTGCCTGTTCAATGAGAACTACAAAATGCTCAGTCTATCAGAAGTGACGGACTGGGAAAATTCTATGAAAATGTGTTCTTCAGGCTGCTTCAAATCTGCTGAAAAAAATGTTGCTGATACCTCGAGAATATAGCTACTCCATTGCTTAGAGGAAACATTGGAGCCAAAAAGTTATGATCTGATGAAGAGATTTAAAAAGAAAAAAAAAAAAAAAGAAAGAAAGTAGATAGATTAAAATGCATAATACTAACCCAAGTATTCCCTTGGTAGCAAATCATTTATCATTGTAATAGCAGAAGGTACAAAAGCCTTCTCCCCCTCCTCTCTCTCTCCACTTCTTAGTTCTGGGTATATCTATATATTGCAAGTCTAATGCTACCAGTTGGGTGGCGTTTTTTTATGCTGATAGTGGCTTCTCAAAGCATACACCTCAAAGATGTCAGATGTTTTCAGAAAATGTGGACAGTAACTATTTAGGATTACGTAATGGGTATATTATGAAATCTGTGCACAAAATAAAAGTTTGTGATCATTAACTGTAAGATCTTGCTGATTTAAAGTGTATGTATCATAAATATGCCCCTTTGTTTTATTTATTTGATACAATAATTCTGCTGATCTTGGCTATCTCCAGTTTGCCTCCTAGTAACTTTTTTCTTCCACATTCAGAAACAGTTACATACCTGTAACTGCTTTTGTAGTAATTTGACTTCTAGAGCCAAAATTTAGAGATTATTTGTATTGAGGCTTCTAATCGTTGGGTGAAACTTTGTTTATGCATCAATAGTTGTTTTATATTTACTCTTTTAATCACTTCCATACAGGCAAGCAATTGTGAGGAAGACAATTTGAGAATAAGGGACGAAGGTGGCCCTTGGACTTCAGTTTCACAACTGCTTTCTTTGGATATTTGCTCAAATAAGAGGCTCCTGTTTGGTTTTTTTCTATGAAATGCTAAATATGCAGTTCCAGTAATTTCCCTGCTGCACCCTACTAAGTATTGAGAATAGGTTTGTAGTGTTATTGATATTAGCATGTGTGTATTTATGTGTGTGTATGCATATACATACATATAAATTAATTGTTTTCAATTTTGATGTTAAAATCATCCACTCCTTCAAGTGGTTTTCTATTCATCATGTTGTGAATGTTGGTGAGGTAAAAATAAATCCTTTCCAATTTTTATTAGATCTGAAGTTAGTAAAAAATTTTCTGCAAAGAGTGTTGGGGTTTAATGTATTGCTTACCCATGCAAATGATGGGATCATGTTCTGTGACGCTTTAGGAGTCCTTGCCTGACAGACATGAGTTTTACTCTTGATTTCACTGCAGATGTTTAGTACTTTGAGTAGAGTGTTACCTGTCTGTCTGCAGAGGAGGGCTAACGATGTTGGCTTTCACTGTAGTGTTCTGATATCTACTGATGAAAGTGTGCAAGAACTAAGTTTTCTAGTAACTACATTTCAGCCTGTACTATCTGGCTTCAGTTTCTGAGGAAACTGGAGTTTTCCTGCGTTTTTATAAGGTAATGTAATGAAGTTTCTAATTGCTGTGTAGTCTCTACTACTATAACAGATTCTGTATTTTAGTCTAAAACAGAAGTGAAGCAGACTCATTTTCAAAGCTGTTTTCCGATGAATAATGAGGCATATGCACCTTTTAATGTATGCTTTACTACACATAATTCACTATTTCAAGTTTTGGCCAAACTGTCTATATTTCCTTTGATTCCAATGGGCACTTTTTTAAGCTTAGTTCAAGCTTTCCCAAAACTTAACAGACGTTGTGAATTAAATCTTTAGAGTGATTTGTGAATGGTTAACATTTGGAGGAATGAGGATTTGAAATCCTATTTTGTTATGAAAGGAACTAATTGCTTCCATAGCCATTTATTTTTGAGAGATGTGGTCATTCCCATAACTTTTGCATCACTGTTATTAGATTACTAGAAAGGTAGCTTAGCTTTCATTTAGGGTTTGGTTTTTGGTTGGGTTTTTTTATGATGGCTTTTGAATCAGGAATCAACCATACTGTAGACTGTTCAAAATAGTACTGAGCTTAACAAAAGTATAGGCCAGGAGTGTATATGTAAACATAGGCTTGTGCTAGCTGTTTTTAATCATACTGGCAGTTTTATTTACCTGTCGGAGGCAAATCTAACAGAATGATGTGTTGAACTGAGCTGGAAATGGTTTTGAGATCACTGTAGATGTAAAAGATGCCATAAATAAAGTGCATTTTATCCTGTTGGAGAAGCTGCAAACAAAACAAAACTTCATGCTGCAGCAGAAATATTAACAGAATTTTCTGTTGTGCTGTAGCATCTCTTAGGATCTGCATATCATCTCTTTTATGAACTTCCATCTGAGTCCATGACAGTCACTTATGTATTCTGAGATACCAAAATTTCATGTTAACAGGCGGCAGTTTCTCTGGTTGTACTTTCCAGTGTGCCTAAGTTTAAATATATTTGAGTGAGTTTAAAAACAAAAGACTGCAAATCAACCTAAGCAGATATTTTGTTTGATTTTATTCTTCTACGGATAATAATGCTTCTAGAATTTGGCTTTGTAATTCTTTGGAAACCAAGAGTTCACAAAAGAAGAGTATAAGTAAGAATGATTTAGGAAATGATCTTGTTTGACATGACAAATACTTGAGCAGTAAGTCCATACTTGTTTAATATTCCATTCAAGGGAAGCTTTGAAAGAAGATGGATGAAACTGTCACTTTATGTGGTCAAGCAGATACTTGCAATTTTACCACCAATCTTAAAGCCTATTGCTTTGTGTCGTTAATTTCTTTGGTTTTAGTTAGCAGGCACGTGCTTGTGAATTACTGCTACAAGAGAACATCTAGGTGGTCAGATTCAGAAAGAGCAAAGTTTTCAACAATTTTTTTGCTTACTGTAGTGCTATGATTTATGTGATAAATGTTATGCTAAAGAGCTTTTAAATATTAGTTCTATGTAGTGCAGTCCAAGTTTAGAAAAATCTAGTTAGTACACAAAGACTTATTTTATATATCCCTTCCATTAAGCTCCAAGCATTCCCTTAAGTATCAAGTAGAAACATTCCCCCAATCATTCTTTCTGTGGTTTAAAAGAATTGTTTTAAATTTATAAATACATATGTCTATGTATGTCTATGATTTTAGTGCATAAATTACATGGAGAAGTATGTTATTAGGTGTATTTTCTGTCACCAGGAGGATGCCTCTGGCAGTGTGTTGTGTATACCACAAAATAGACTGCATGGATGAGCTGAAAATACACAAGGCTCTACTTTTATTATTTATTGTGTGTGTTTCTGGAAAAACTTTTGGTGCAATTGATTTTTAAATCTGCAGAAACAAGTAGTATCTGATTATCTCACTCAAGATAAATATAAAATAATTTAGTCTCCTTCATGATCTTTAAAGGCTGGAGAGTTCTTAAGAAAATAGCTACTCGAATTTAGGAAGAATTGATGCAAAAGCAAATGCTATGTATTTACATAGTACTGTTTATATTATTATAAGTGTGTTATAGTTCTGCACAAAACTATCTCAATTGTTGGGATAGTGTCTTTTTTTTTCCCTCTTTTTTTTTTTTCTTTTTTTTTTTCTTTTTTCAATGACTGCAGTATTAAAATCTGTTTTCTAGCTGTAGGGAAGCTTACCATACTTTGCGGGCCAGATTTTAAGTGAAGCAGCAGTGCTGTGTGTCATGCTACATAAGGCCATCCAAGGGCACTATATGTTGACTTTTAAAAGAGAATATAATACTTTACTGGTAGGAGAGGTATAAACTGGTAAAAGGTTATATGATCAGTTTCTTCCCTGTTTCCAAAGATTATTTAAAGAGGACTGTCTTAGAAATGCCCCTAGACTGTGACATATCTGATTGCAGTTTTTCTTTCGTACAGCTAGCATTAATTATTGTGGCTGCTGTAATCTGAAGACTAAGGCAAATACAAACTGAAAAGAGTGAGAATGATGAAGATTTTTGCCCTAAAACTTTCATGATCACAGCTGATTGTGTTGCATTCTTAGGTTAAAATTCTCTTGAGTGATGATACATTTTTGCAATGATGTCTTAAGTTCTCACAGATGGTGTAGTAAATACTGAATCCTACAAAATGTAGGGGAGGAGTGTGCTGATTTATACAAATACCTGTTTCTGTTCTTGCTTTTTCTCTATATTGTGAGCAGTAATGTATGGAGTATCCATTCTTGGTGTCATGGAGCACTTTTTTATTTTAATCTTAATTTTCTTTATGATCCTCCTAACTTTTCTATGTACTTTTCAGACACATGCTACAACAGTAATGATTTGTAATGTGTTTTTTTCCCAAGGAACCCATGTTGCAGAACTAACTAAAGAAAATGCAAGGGATCTTTTCTCACACCTTTGTGTGAGTTAAAATGAGCATTATTTGTATCATTCACCTGTCTATGAGAGCGGCGAATCATACATCAGTGAGTGAAAGAAATTAAACAGGTGCAGACTTAGAAGCAGAAACTAATACGACGTTGGCAGACATACAGCTTCGTGTTGTAGTTATATGATGCTTCCCTGCTGCTACTGTATGATGTCAGTAAAATTAAATACCAAATGTATTTTGTCACCATCTATTCTTGTTTTTTTAAGTGAAATAAGAGCTTTCATAGAACATAATTTTTAAAATAAGTTTCTTTTGACATCTAACGAGAAATGTTAAATGCCTATCACTCTCATGTTCACAGGTTACTTCAATGAACACTTTTGTTTGAAGATATAGGGCAGTGATCCACTACTAGTAAATTCGTACTATGGTCTACGTTTGCTGTATAAGACCCTGATGAATAAATGTAATGCAGATGCAAAGAGAATTGATATGATTCTTTCGAGTGTGACTGGATCATCTCCTACAGAAATAGACAGGAGGCTCAACACAGAGCCCTGCTACGACTTAGTGAACTTAGTGTCCAGTTCTGGCCTGTGCTTTAAAACTAGAAAGCCTTCAGCCAATTTCTTGGATACATAATATCTATGAAAACCTTAAACACTTTGACCTACTTATGCAGGAAGGTTGAGAGAGGACCTATTCATAGACAGGTGCCCAGAGGTGCACTTAAGTTTTACAGGACTTTAACCTAACATTACACTATCCCACAGTCCGGGATGGAAGCTAAAGCAAGACAAAATGCATTACTTTTCAACAATGAGAGTACCTAACATTGCTATGAGTTGTCTTAGTTCTCACTACCCCCAAAATGCTTGAGTTTGTATAATACAAATAAAATTGTCTTCATTCTGAACTACTGTACTGTGGTCTTGGACCTAAAGAACACAGGTTACCTCTGCATGTGCTGAAATATCATGGAAGGTACTGGATGTGACTTCTGACTACACATTAATTTTTTTTTTCTTCACCTCTGCTAATTCTATAAAGAATTGTTATGTGAATTAAAGTAATTATATTCTCATTGCTTTGGGAAGCAAAGGTTCCTTATGACTGTCTGGTTACCTGTAGAGAGAATTTTTTTCATTAGAGCATACAGTGGATGTGTCCAAAGTTAATCTGAGTTTTTAGAGTACCTTTCTGCTTCAGTTTAACACTACTCACCTCACGCCAAAAGAGGAGAGGTTAGGGAGACATTTCAACTTGGAGGAAGCTGTTAAAAAATTGAGGGTTTCTTATTAGCCTTTTCAAACTGTAGTTATCTTCCAGGACAGTTTCAGAAGTACTTCAACCATAAATCGTATTGTCTTGAAAGAGCTACTGGCCTGCCAGCATTGATGAATAATTGAGTATTGTCATGGTACAGTACCCTGCTGAACAATATTTTGGTTAATTCTACTGGAATTATGGAACTGCTAACTTGATTCTGTATACAAATAAAGTAAAACAAAACCTTCTTGTGTATGGGAATATAAAGATTACTTTTATTTTCTAGATAGTGACACTGAGGATTTATGTGAATAAATAAGATCATTCTTCTTCTAACCATTATTTATCAATAAAACATTGCTAGTGGTGCCTGCTTCTCTGATGTGTGTAATGCCCAGATTTTTTTCCCCGGGTCTTGCCTTCCTAATTTGGTGCAAGAAAGTTGGGGTGCCCTGGTACTAACCCCAGCAAAATTACTGCAGTCTCAGTGCTGTTCCTGCTACAGTCCTGCCTACTCCTGAATGTGGTGTTCGTTGACAACCTCATCAGTTCCAGGACCTCTTCAACTAGAGATTTCAGAGTTTGGCTGAAAGCAAAAGAAGGGTTCCCTTCTGTCAAGTGCTGCTGCTGTTCAAAATTCGTGTTATTTAACCCTAGCTTTCTACAGATGTTTTCAAGATCACAGGAAGCATGCATCTTCAAAGGAAGAAACTAAGGTGGAAGAGTAGTCACAAGTGCATGTTGTAGCTTGTTCACTTTCTTTTTTAAGAGCAGATGGGTATAGAAACTCATTGTCCACTGCTTTTTGGGCTGTGTTTTGTGTACTTGATCTGTTTGTTTGCTTTCAAAGCAATACTGTATGTTCCTTTGATGCCCATTTCTGGTTTTTACTGCTTACCTGCTACACTTGACAGCGAGACTTACAGACCTCACTCCACCATCCTCTCCACTCACTATGAGGATTTGTGCTGTTTACTCCTCATTTTAAGGAAAAGAAGATGCTTTGTTTCCCAAAAGAAAGATGAAACAACTCTGAGAACAAGGATGTGGAATTGCTTATAGGTATAGATGCCTGTGGAGATAATTAGATGTTCTAACAGAGTTGCGATGTGCAAGGATTGGTGAGGATCCCTTTCCTCTTGGTGTACCTTTCTTCCTGGTTCTCATGCTTTCTCTGGCATGTGTTCACAGTCCATTTTCAATGTGTGGCCATGCCCTAGGGAGCATGAATTTATCAGGAGATGCTAAGATGCCATGATCAAAAGAACATAATTTTTTTTCTCCATGGTAAGGCATAAAATGTCCATCTTCTTTCTACTCAGGCGCCTATCGTTAATTCATTCCTTCTGTCTGGACTAGTGCTAGTGGTGACAGGTTGCATTTTAATATTTGGTCTAGGACTAAGTTTTTCCCTATTTCACTGAGTAAGAGCCCTTAGGGAAGTATGGGGCAAGGAGGAAGGCCACTTATAGAAAGTGACAACCTTTCTGTACATTCTAGACTCAAAAAAAAAAAAAGGAGTAATTTCTGACGGGATTTGAGTGAGGCTTAACCAAGATCTGGTTCCTCAGCTCAAGGATCCAAAATGATGAAGGAATGGCAAGTTATTGTTCCTGGGGACTGGTCTTGCAGTTTGTTCACAGTCCTCAACCTAGGTAACTTGTCAATTCATGTCACTTCAGGTCAACAAAAGCTCTTCCTCCACTTAGCAAAGAGAAGCTTAATCAGGAATGTCCTGATGTTGCATCTCTGCATAGCTCATAAGCCCCACAAATTAAAGGTAGTGACCTATGTTGGGTTTGTAAGGAAGCCTGCTGCCCTGTCAAATGAGAGGGAAGTTGACAAACATGTATCTTAACTGCTGAGACTTCTCTCTTCCCAATGGAGTGGATTCATCTGCTAGGGACTTGAACAGTGGTTCTTTGTACAACATGCAGGGATGCTTGGAATAACAAGGTTAATCTTGCCGCTTAACTACACCACTGTTAGATTGGGTTTTGTTTGTTTGTTGTAATGTTTGATTTCTGACCTATGTCTGACTTGCATTGGTTCACAAGCTCTGAATCATTTCGTAGCTTTGTTCACTGAATAAAAGAACTGTCCTGCCAAAGCTATCTTTGTATAGATGGCTGCGATCGCATCACTTCTGTTAACCACCTTTTAGTCCTTATTTCCCTCATTGGATATAAGAGCATATAAAACGTCTTTTCACCTGCTTTTACATAACAACTGTAAAAACTCATGAAGTCTGGTTTACCCATTTTAATCTGTGACACATTGGTAACTTAAAGAACATGTTTAGCAACTCTGGTAACCTGATTTTGAATGCTCTGGGACAGTTTTTGACAGTTTTCTAAATCAGACGTAATGTTAGTCAAGTCAGGAAGCTGGCTGTCTTGTTTCTCTGCTGAAAAGAACTTCCATTTGTGAAGATTATGAATGTTAGTTTTAAGTGACAGTCAGCTGATATAGCTCCAGTTCTCCCTTGTAGGCTTTTTATCATATTCCTACCTGTTGATTTGACTTTTAGAGTGCATGAATTTTCATAATTTGATTTAAATTGTTCATATGTCCCATTACAGCATGTAACATAAGACATAAATAGAAAAAAAAATCTGCTAGTATGTTGTGATACATTGGACATGCTTCCTGCATCAGAAGTCAATGGATGATGTTGAGATCAATTTTTTCAATTGGAAAAGCAGGTATGGTGGCAATATTATGTGTTTAGACTTCTGCATTAATAAGAACAATAATAGCAATAAAAGTCTGAAGATTCTTGGGCACTTGATTAGTGGCCCGGTCTCAGAAATGTGAGGTGATGTCTGCTACAGATAGACACTCTCAAGGGAACAAGTGTGTGTGTGTGCTTTTTATGATAATACTCTATGAAACTGGTAAAGTGCTTTTCTTTAGATCTTGTTTTGAAATGTATAGATTTCTCTAAAGCCTCTTGGAACATCCTTTCCCAGTCTTTCAGGCAAGTTTGAGTAGCCATGGCTTTTGGGTTAGGTTAGAATTTAAATGCCAAATCATTTTAGCTAGGAAATCACTGCTGTGTCAGATAAGTATCAATGTTCACATCATGGTTTATTTAAAAAAAAAAATCACAAAAGGAAATTTAAAAAAAAAAAATTGAAAGTCCATGGGTGGCTCAAACAGTTTGCCTTCAAATGCTGCCTTGCACATTGACACAAATTCATTATTCTCTGGGAACCGCTGACACACTGGGTAAATATCTTGGAATTGAGTCTGCACTTAAATGTTTCCTTTCACGAGGATTTCCTTGTTTTGTGATGTGACTGTTGAAAGAGTGATTTTTACTTTTCTTACAGAATGACTGAAATTTTTTTTTAAGGAAGTAAAAGTTTAAACAGAAATGTCACTGGTATAGTATATTTATCTCCTCTGAAATAAATTTGGCATATCTAGACCTAAGGAATATTTTTTTATATATATATATATATTGGTGTGTGTGTGTGTTTATGCACACACACACTCACATATATGTGCCTGTGGCTTTTCTTTAGCAGGTTTTTCAAACTTCATGAAGTACCTTCCAAAAATCATACCTGGGCAATTTAACAATGCAGTTCCCTGCAAGTATCAATGTAGTATCTGGCTTGAAGACCTACTGAAGTTTCTGAAGTTTTTAACTTGCCCAGTGACTATAAAATTAATATTCTTTTGGGAGGGTGAGGGTATTGTTCTGCCGTTCTTACCAGGGAGGGAAATTGCGAAGTTCCTTTTAGGACATAGGCTGTCCCAGGGAGCCTGTGGTGTTATTATGAGCAGTTGAATTGTGAATGTTGCAGTGGGATAATTCAAATTATAGAAATGCAAGAAATGGGTAGATTAAGACTCTATTTTTTTATTGTATCAAGTATTTATACCGTTTTGTTGTAATGCACCTTAATCAGATCAATGTGGTGATTTAACTTTAACGTGCAAGCATTTATTTTTGAAATAGAAAACTGTATTCATTCTCAGTTGTAAATCTTCTCATTTTTCTTTCAGATTACTCTTTACATCAGTAGAAATGGACAGCAGCAGTTTCATTCAGTTTGATGTGCCCGAGTACAGCAACACTGTTCTGAGCCAGTTAAATGAACTCCGCTTGCAAGGAAAGCTATGTGACATAATTGTGCATATTCAGGGTCAGCCATTTCGAGCCCATAAAGCTGTCTTAGCTGCCAGTTCTCCCTATTTCCGTGACCATTCAGCATTAAGCACCATGAGTGGCTTATCAATATCAGTTATTAAAAATCCCAATGTTTTTGAACAGCTGCTTTCTTTTTGTTACACTGGAAGGATGTCCTTACAGCTGAAGGATGTTGTTAGTTTTCTAACTGCAGCTAGCTTTCTACAGATGCAGTGTGTCATTGATAAATGCACACAGATACTGGAGAGTATTCATTCAAAGATCAGTGTTGGTGATGTTGACTCTGTCACTGTTGGTGCTGAAGAAAATTCAGAAAATCGCAATGGAGTTAAAGACAGCAGCTACTTTGCCAATCCTATTGAGATATCTCCCCCCTATTGCTCTCAGGTGCGACAGTCAACAGCAGGCAGCGATCTTAGGATGGAAACTACTCCAGGCAAAACTCTGCGTAGTCGTCTGCAAGAAGAAGGGCATTCAGATCGAGGAAGCAGTGGGAGTATCTCTGAATATGAGATTCAGATTGAAGGTGATCATGAGCAAGGAGACCTGATAGTAAGGGAAAGTCAGATTGCAGAGGTGAAAGTTAAAATGGAGAAGTCCGACAGGCCAAGCTGCTCTGATAGCTCTTCCCTTGGGGATGATGGATATCATACTGAAATGGTGGATGGAGAGCAAGTGGTGGCAGTAAATGTTGGTTCCTATGGGTCTGTCTTACAACATGTTTATTCGTTCACCCATGCCTCATCACAGGCTACAGGTGTGTCTGAAGCCTTCGGAAGCTTGAGCAATACGAGTCCTTCAAGGTCAATGCTGAGCTGTTTCAGAGGGGGTCGTGCACGCCAAAAACGGGTATCCGCTGGTCACTTGCATAGTGATGTTCAGGGCTTGGTGCAAGGGGCTGACAGTGAATCCATGGTGAGTAACCCAGGATATGAAAATAGTCCACGGGAAAGAAATACAAGAGGTCATTGGTATCCATACAACGAGAGGCTAATTTGTATTTACTGTGGAAAGTCTTTCAACCAGAAGGGGAGCCTTGATCGACACATGCGATTGCACATGGGAATAACTCCTTTCGTGTGCAAATATTGTGGGAAGAAATATACCCGCAAGGACCAACTTGAGTATCATATTCGTGGTCACACAGATGACAAGCCCTTTCGCTGTGAGATCTGTGGAAAATGTTTTCCTTTCCAGGGTACACTAAACCAGCATTTGCGAAAAAATCACCCTGGGGTAACAGAAGTAAGAAACAGGGTAGAGTCTCCAGACAGAACAGAAGCGTTTGTGGAACAGAAAGTAGATAATGATGCTTCGGCTTCTGAAGCTATGGATTCTAGTATGGAAATTCATGCAATGTCTAACACATCTGATTAAAATATTACTTCTAAGTGCAACACAAACAAGCACATTACTAATGAATTTTTTAAATCTTTTTTTCTTTTAGTAATCTTCAGTACAAGTATAACAGCCTTTTAATTTTCCCGACCTTCTAGAAATCAGTTTGAAATGGTTTCTGGAGAAGACTACATAAGTATTCTTTGTTTTTGAAGGAGGCTGGGTTATTTGGTTTTTTTTTTTACTTTTGAAGATGCTCAAAATATAAAAGGCAATGTACTGGGGAAAGGATAGAAGATTCTGCTAAAGTGTCCCTACTGTTTGATCTGGCAAGACACAAATTCCAGTGGAGAAAGATATTAGAATAAGATTGACAGCTCTGCTGGATATGCCAAGAAGCTGTAATCTCCCTTATTTCTTAAATCCTGTTGCTTGTAATGAGTTACACAGCAGTGGGGAGAGAGAATATTATAACTTTGATTCCTTCCGTGTGTCACGAAATCTGTTTGCTTTTACTAACTGTTTTTGGTAGTTAGTCTGTTTATATATATAAATTTGCTTTATATATATAAAATGCTTTCACTTTTCCTATTCTGGTTGAGGTGAATGTAAAAGTATGTCAAGGTTTATACCATGTACCACTCTTTCAACTGCTAGGTCTCCTCTCTGCTTAGGATTTAGGACTTTGGACTTTGGGAGGATAGTTTTGGTTTTAAAAGAATGTTGTTTGGTTTTCATTTTATTACACTATTACTTTGTGTGCAAAAGTGAGCAAAGTTAATTGTTTTAATAGCTTTGCTTTATAACGTATGTAAACCAAATGCCATAAATCTATTAAATTATGGTTAAATTGTTGAGGGGTTTTGTTAGTTGTCTAGAATGCAAGCTGGACAACCTGTGGTGCTGACCTTTTTATATATATAGAGATAGATATATCTATATATATATATATATATATAAAAAATATTAGCAAACCTAAAAGTAGCATTGTGGTTTTAAATGTGTTTTTACTGGCCTCAGAATCTACCTTCATTTCGTACTGTAGAACCATACCAGGTAATTAAATTTAAATTCATCACTCTTCATGGTTGGTTAAAACCTGAGAGAGATGTTGTAGTTTAAACTACAGTATTTCCAAGCAGTGTTTTAATAGGTCTCTTTACAGAGAGCTGTTTTCAGGTGCACATTGACTTCCTACTTAAAGCTCCAAGTGATATGTCAGCACTTGGAATTTGTACTTTTTTTTGTATAAAAAAAACAAATACTCTATGGGAATTTCGAGCAATATGTCTGTTATTTCATGTGTGAGTATTACAGAGTTGCTATGGCTTCCCTACTATTTTCAGTGGTTTTCTGCATAAAGGAACTACCAACAACTTTAAAAATACTCTAAATCTTTTTGTTTTACCAAATGTTTTTTTAATATGGTGCTAACTTCATCATTTAGGTCAGTATAATATATAAAATGTGAAATATAATGGTAACAGTTAAGCAAAAGCAAAAAAAAAACCACACAAAAAAACCCAAACAAAAACCAACAACAAACAAACAAGCAAAAACCCACCCCAAACAAACAAACCACAACAAAAAAAAAACAACAATAGCTTAACAGACCTCAAAAGCGTGAACTGGCAAACACTACTGTGTGAAATTCTACCTGATGAACAGATTTAAATTAATCACATGCTTCTTTAAAATGCAGGTTTTATATAATTGGGCCTTATGTTTGTTTAGTAAATATTGAAAATACATCTGTGAACATGCTGTTTAAGTCCTGAAATTTAGAAAATAAAAGCTCATTCCTAAATTACGGGAAAGCAAAAAGGTAGGTTTGCTATCTTGTAAAGCTTTTTTGGCTCCTGTGAAGTCGGGGCATATTTGTGCAGTAACTTTATTAAATACACTAGTTCTTAATATTGTGACAGTCTGCAATAAGAATTAATTTCACTAAATACAGATTTACAGTATAAACCCCACCTGCTCCATTGGAGCAGTTTCAGTTAAATTCAGTACATAATTTGCCTCAAACTGCATAAATAAAGAGGCAGAGGGTGGGGAGATACTTCTCTCCTTGAAGCAACAATACAACTTTTGTTTCCAGTAAGGGAAAGTATATGTCTGTGTCTAGGGAAGGTAGTCTATATGTTTACCCACTTAAAAACATGTTGGTGTTTGATACTGATTTTTTCGTAAATGTTTGTTTTAAGTAATTAAATGCAAAAAAAAAAAGTGTTTTGATAAATTAAGTTTGAGACATGCAAAATTCAAGAAATGTACAGTTATTCTTAACCCTTTATCTTGGACCTGTGCTGTGGTGCCTTTAGTGTGACTTTTTCCATGGAAGTATGAGTTGAGGATAGCAGGATATGGGTACTAATTTTATATTTCTTGAATTTCTCTGTGTCACAATCTTGACATTATTTAAATCTAGTTCTTTGTATTTGTAAATGTATTAAAATGGTTTGAGTTTACCAAAGAGTGACTTATCCAAAATTGTCTCTGACAAAAACAAACAAAAAACCAACATCACTTTGATTGTACAGGTTCAGGTTCAAAACATTGTAACAGGACTGTTAAGGGGCAGGAAATAATCACTTTTTCTACAAAATCATGATTCAGCAGTTTGCAAGTTCTGCTTGCTCCTATTCGTGTTGATATGCCATTTACCCTTTCCACTGCTAGCAGTGTTAATATATTATCAAGCCATAACACAGTACTGTAAAGTTCAACAGTGCTTCAAAGGATGCATATGTAGGTGAGCATAAAACATCATCAGGCATTACATTTACACTTACAAAGTGTGTGACTCTGGTAGAAAACGAACTTCAAACCTGGCAACAGCAATTAAATTGTGCCTTGTCACATAATGGTATGCCAGGATTAACATTGTCATGAAACATGAAGCATTATCTGACTGAAGTTCATTTCACAAGTCCACCAAAACAGAGTATGCTGTGTTATTTTAAGCAAATTATGGAAGTACTGTACAGTGTCTTGTGTCTGTACAGTTTTAAGTTAGCACAGAGCTGTTACACATTTCATTTACAATAAATGCAGAAGTCAATAAAATATGTGAAGAAATATTTGACAGCAAAATAAATCATGAAATTATATAGGCTGGTTCATAATTGAGTCTCTTCTTAATCTACCTTTTTAATTATAGACAAATGTGAAAACAGTGACAGTGTCCTTTCCTCTAGATGTTTAACCTATTATGACAAACTGTGAAAATAAAGGATTTTATACCTTTGCTAATGTTTGTGGGTTTAAACAGGTTTTTTAGTTTTCTTAATCAGTTATCTTCCATATTATTTCTTTTAAACTTGTAAATACATTTAGAAAATAGCTTTGTAAATACTTACAGTATATTAAAAGTTCAGTTTGGTCAATAAGGCCTCAAGATTGGCTCTGCTTTTTTAGTGTGAAATCTTTTCAATAGCATAAAGGATACTATCAGTTCACTGTTCAGCAGAATATACTGTAGGCCTAAATTGATAGTTCTTAATGCAGTCTTCCCAAGCATAAATTCATGTTTTATGCTAAAGCCTTTGGTTTACTTTTAGATAAAACAATGAGGCCTCTTAATATATTTAGGCTGAATTATGGGAAGAACAGCAGGAATAAAATCAAGGGCTGGGAAAAGATTGAATGAGCTTTACCTTTAAATACATATATATATATATATATCTTATTTGAATTTTTGTATTAGTTTACTGTGATTCTTTTATTGTCATTTTTCTAAACAGGTTTCACATGAAACCATTGAAAGGGACTCAAATATGCAACACCTAATCTATTTTCCAAGGGAATTTTACCCTTGAATGGTGCTTTTTGACTGGTCAGGGTTATTTATTAAATTTTATATTTGAAAGTATTTGGGGAATTATGTAAATTCTTTATATGAATCTGTTTATTTCATGAATTGTAAATTTCATAATACTCAGTGATTGAATTGGAAGTTTAGTAAAGTCATTCAAAATGTTCAAAGTTTAGAATCTGTGTGCATTTTACATATATTTTAACAAGTGCCAGAATAGTTGTATTTAATATTGTAGATTTAATACTACTTGCACATCCCTGTGACAGCATTAACTTAAGTTACGCAAGTTTACATTTTTTAAAAAAATGCTAAACAAACAAGTAAGCCTGGGACATGTGTTCCTGTATTTCTTCAGGGGATGTGAAGCTAAGTATCAGTAACTGAGCAGGTTTGCTTCTAGTTTATGTAAGTAACTCCTGCCATGGTAGATACAATAAACTGCTGTCTCTCCCATTTACATATGCTATGAATTCAGCCTTTGGACTTGTATTGCAAGCCTCTGGTTGTATATCTGATTAGAGGTAGAGCTCTTGCACGATTTTAACAGTGTTTGTTTCTGACTGAAAAATTGTATTTTTAAATAACTTTTATTTGTATGGTTGTTTTTCATGATAAATAATTGAACAGTTTGAATGACTTGACTTGGTGTCATTATCTTGCAATATAAACCGGTAACCTCACAACTCCACACTTCATCACCACATGAAGTAAATGAAGCTAGCTAAGCTGATGCTGTAACAATTAATAACTTGCCATTAAGGATTATTTTATAGCATGAATTTTAAAATATTTATTCAAATGATATTTTACTCTCGTATTCACTTTTGTTTTTAGATTTGTGACATGAATATTTCAGTGCTGCTTTATTTTGTTCGGATGAATTTGTTTCTTGCTTGTAAATTGCTTTTTTTATGGTATAAAGTCAATGGGAATTGCTGTTTGTAAATTAAAATGCTTCTAGAGCAAATCTCTGGTGTCAGTGTCTACATATAGATATTTAATTACCAAGGGACTTGCATTTTAGATACTTTTCCTCAAGTGTTATAAAAAGTTGCAGTTTAATACTCACGTACCAACTAGGAATCAAAAATCTTTAGAGACAAACTACTCTTGAAGTTTCTCTTTTTTACCAGTATTGCTCATTGAGTTCTGAACAGATGATCATTTGAGTTTTGCATTCCAAAACCTTGTTCAACTCTCAAAGCAAAACAAAAAACCTGGCCGGGTGGCGGCCCTCTGTCAACACCAAGCCAGAGCTAAGTCTGTTGGGTATGGAGGTAATGTTTAACTTCCACAGCGGCATTTGCATTTTATGTTATGCTATATGTAGCAGTAGAGCTAATACTGTTTTCAGCAAGTGTAGGATACAGCTCCTCCTAGCCCACAAGCTTGAATTTAACATGAGTAGCCAGCAACTGCTTAGTTACTTCAGCTGATAGCACAGCCTTGACTTGTTTTGTGCCAGCTGGCTGTTGACAACTCTTTAAGTGCCTTTGTAACAAGCAGCTTCTTGGAGGAGTTAATATATCCTCAACCAATTGTAAACTATCACTGATTTGCTGAGATTCCCAGGACAACTGGAATTTTGCAGAAAGATTTTTTGCTTTATACTCATGAAAACACAGCTGATACTATTAAATTTGGTTAAAATTTACCAACACTGTTGCCAGGTTTTTTTGTACGAGATGTGTGCCAGCAAAGACTTTTGTTCTATAGTAAAGCTGAATTAAATTTAAATGATCTTTAAACTCACATGGCAGCAAAGGGTATGTTTATATAATGCTAATGCAACTGAAGGATATAGTTACCTTGACTGCCTCTGGGGTTTGGGGTTGTGGGTGGGTTGGTTGGTTGGTCACCTGAGACCCTATGGGCAAATTCAGAATTACAGACTATTTTAGCAAAATATCTGTTCAAATCCCCTTGCTTGTAAGGTCTGAAAACTCAAGTAATGCAGAATAGGGGTAAACAGGACATGACTGTTAGGAATAAATGCAATGTTGTTTTTACCCAGAGAGCAGAGAGACAGAACATAGCATACTTCTTATATTCCCCTCCACACTTTTGTTCTGTTATGTTTTGTTTGAGTTGGTGGAGTTGCTCATCTTGTCAGATAGCCATTGAGGTTAGAAATAAGATGCAGCAAGGTTGTGTCCATGGAACTTGATGCAGTTAATTTTTTGAGCCAAGCTGCTCACCAGTTCCTTCAGAAAATATTTGCTGTTTCCTTCATTACATGTTTCTATGCACAGACCAGTAATACATGGAGCTTTAGCTGTTTCCTGTGCAGACTTGTGAGTTGGGAAGAGTGTGAGCTGACATGATCCTCAACAACTGCGTTATAAATGTCATAGATTTGTTTACAGCAGAGTCTGTGCACTGGATGCTGGCACAGATGTTACATAACACTGGGCACCTTGTGGAAATTGCCTTTAGTATGTGAGTACGCAGAAGGGGCTGCACCGCAGTATCAGTCACAGGCCCCGGTATCTCTTAGCTATTTCTGTTTGAAGGCAAGTGGAAAGTTTCCTCCTTGATATGGCTGGCTGCTTTTTACTTGCGTTAGTCAAGCAAAACAAACATGCTGTATTTTGTTTACAATGCTATGTAAATATAGTCTAAGTTCATAGAATCCTAGAATGGTTTGGGTTGGAAGGGACCTTAAAGATGACCTCGTTCCAAGCCCCCTGCCATGG